CTCACCATTGCTAACTTTCTCGAAACTCGGAGAACCTTGACTCACTGAATCAGTAAAATTACATCTGAACTGGTAAACGGATTCGGATTCAGTTTCGAGGAATCGAATCAGGAGATGGTTTTACGCATCTGATGGTGAAAAGAGGGTTTTTGGTATGACAATGGTGAAATTAAAAAAAAAAACAGATTTTTTTTAGATAGGTGTTTGTGGAATGTCGGGAATGAGACAATTCCATAGCCGCCGGACGAAGTTCGTCGCCGGCGAGAATCCCCTTGAGCGACAAACTTCGTCATCACCAGTTTAGTTGTTTTTTTTTCTTCGTTTTTTTGGGCCCATTTTAACATCACCAGTTTAGACTTAACTAGCAAATTAGGCCTACTATGTCGGCCCATATATAGTATTTTATAAGAGTTTCCTCTTTACTTGTGAACAAGCTTCGTAGTTGTGAGAACTTTTAAATTTTGGTGGAGAAATTAGGCTATTCATTTGGCCTCTCGATCATCTTCAGCACATCTTGACTATTTATTCTAAATTTTGGTTGAGGATCACGAGTCTTAAAGCATTCCATCAATCAAATGAGCGTTTCCAGCTTCGAATGAAGTAGAAATAATCTCTTTGGTTGATTTTTTAGTTCTGCAGAGACGAATTTCGACCTTAATCCAAACTACGTCTACCCTAACCCACTATTCAGGTCCATGGGTGTCCATCAACCGAAGGGCTTGGGATTGAGGGATTCCTCCTAAAGAGGACCAAGTCAAAGGGTCGGTGTTTGCTCCAAATCACGCCGAGGCATTATCCATCGGCATGCCTAAAAATGTTTGGTGTCTTTCGAGTAATGTCCCGAAATAAATTTTCTTTCTTTGCTTTCCACTGGATAAACTAGATTATCCACAGATAAAAATATATCTTTTCATTGGTTTATTTCGAAATTCTGCCATTTCGATTTTTTTCATAAGAGAAAATCCAAATTAATAAATAATGCAGAGAAGTAAAATAATACAGTTAAAATGTAAGTAACTAGATTATTTTATGATTTGATGTTAATTAACATAAATAACTATATTATATGTCATGGTCCATGAAATGTTGTCACTTTGCTTTACAGTTTTAATCTCGACTATGTATATACCAGATTATATCTTAGTACCATTTTTATATACACAAATATTCATCAGCGGTGGTAGAATTAGATTCTGTTTGTTTTCTATTGTAATAGCAATACGACTTCAAAAGTTCATCACCAGTTCTTACTTTTTGCTTATGTCATGCCTAATACTCCAGTAGACTACTATATCAAAAGTTCAAAATATGAGAATGAAAGTTTTTGTTTAAAAGATTCTCGACACTAAATAATTTTATTTTACTATGTGCTTATCGAAAAATTCTGAAATACTCTTATTTTACCTTTAAAAGAATTAAACAATCAATCTATTAAATACAGTGCGCTAAACAATAAATTTAAGTAAGAAAGACACTAAATTTTTGGTAAACAAAAAAAAAGAGAGATAAATTCCAATAAATGGACATTGTAAGTTTTTAATTAATTTGTAAGAAAATTATTACCCGCCTTAATGTTTTTAATTGTAATATTTATACATGTTTTTTTTTAAATCCTACTGATTTGAAAAACTAAGAGAAAAATAATATAAAATACATTTAGATGAAGATCATACAATTTAAAATAATTAGAAATTTATATACTGAGATACAATTTCAAATAAAAATATTTATTTTTTTTAAATTAGTTTTATAGTAACATAAGAAGTAATTTCATCTTTTTATTTAGGCTATAGATGAAAAAATTAATCAACATAAATTTTATTGAATATTAACACAACGACGACACTATAACATATTAGATAACAATGATACATCTGTTAATAAAGTTCTAGCATTTGGGCTAAATATACAAATAAAAATGTATACGGAGCAATTCATAACAAACAGAAACTATGAGGCCATATCTGTTAAACTCACATTTTTCCCGCTATATAAACATCGCCCACCAGACCAAATAAACTGGACCTGTCATGTCTTTGTTCTGAAACCAGAAACTAAGAAAAAAAGACAAGAAAAAAACACTCTTTTTAGGAAAAAAGTCCAAATTTACATTAAGAAAAAAAGTTGTTTTCACTTTGCCATTTTTGGATTCTGGTGATTTTTTAAAAACAAAACAAAGATCACGAGTGTCACTTGTGTTCTCTGTAACCGTTTCATTTGGTCAATTCAATTACAGAGACAACAAAAAAGACAGAACATAACTCAAAAAGATTCAATTTTTTTTGCTCTCTTCTTCTTCTTCTTTATTGAGAATCTAGAACACAAAAATGGATTCTGATCTTTATCTCTTTGATGGTTCTTCATCTTCTTCCTCAATCTGTATGAGTACTGAACCAGACATGTTTTCTTCAGACACAACAACAGATCTCTTCTGCAACAATCTTTATCTCAATCCATTAATGGATGATCATCAATCTCTTAGTTTCTTTGAAAAGTTCYCCCCGACAACGACGACTCATCATCATCTTCTCTCATCTTCTCCTCCAATCTCTCAGCTACAAACCTTAAATCTCTCTCACACAAACAGTTTCCCTAATTTCTCTGGTTTCGAAAACTTCGACAACGTCAAAACAGAGCAGCTCGTGTTTAACTCTCAGTTCGATGCTCCATTCATGGAAGATTCATCCAATTTCCAGAACCAGAATTTGTTAAACTCGCCGGAAAATTCCTTCTTCTCCGGTCACATGCGACGAGTTTACAGTACCGGAGATTTACAGGTACTATTTTCATCATCCTCTGTTTTTCCTCTGTAATTTCACACAGAAAAAAAAGGAGTAATTTTTTAAATTTTCTTTTTAGAATCTGAGAAGAGATTTTACGGGACAGAGATCATACTCGAGTCCTTTAGTGGTGGAGAGCTCATCGACGACGATGCCGTTTTCCGGCGAAGAACAGTGTTTGAAGGTGGGTCGTTACAGTGCTGAAGAACGTAAAGAGAAGATTTCAAAGTATAAAGCTAAACGAACACAGAGAAACTTCACTAAAACCATTAAGGTAATTTAATAACTATTCATTTCTGTTTAGTCTGTTGGAATTTTATTATCTTTACACGTAAATCAATGAATAAATTAAAGGTATAATTGCAAAATGTCATTTTTGGTCAATGAATTCTTTAATTAATTAGGAAACTCATTCATATACTTTTAAAAATATAACATGTGAATTTTAAAATCAAGTAAGTGGAGTTCAAAAAAAATAATTCACCATAGTGTTTATACATTTGTACTTTTATATTTGAAAACATTACTAAATATTTAGAAGTCCACTATAAATCAAAATCGTTATTAAAATCGAATGAAAAACCATTAACGGAATAACAGCAT